ACGAATGAAAACAAAGCGTCAAATATGTTACATTTTCCATCAGACCAAGATCTTGAACAAAATTCTCGCTTCTTCTTTTGCCCGTTCTCGATGGTTGCATTGTCATGTTTACAAAAATGATGCGAGAAAATTTAAATGAGAAATATATATCCCAAAAATTCAATACAAAAATGTACATGGCCGCCTAATTCAACGTTCCCGAATCAAGAAAACGCATTACAATATTTGTGGTACCTTGTCTAGAAGTCGAAATTCGCGAACAGAAAATTAGAGTGAACTAGATTTGGTTCCTCTGTCCTAATTTTTAATTAACGTAAAAATTTGGAGTCGAATCAATCTTGTTCGTGCTGTCTGCATCTTCTCTATTATCAAAGAACTAATCGTAATATAAAAAAATGGTACTTTGCATGTGTATGGGTATGACAATCAAAGCTGAAAGATGAACGAAAGGTTCACCACAACACACAATCCATAGCAAATGTTAGTCTAAAATTTGTTAACAGTTTGGCTGATATGTGGAAATATTTCGAAAATAGACAAAGGTTACTGTCATTAGCATATATTTATCTAAAACCTGATACATCCTACACGCAGTCAAGAAGTTAGTGTAAAGTGGAACAACGATCAGCTTAAAATTTACATTTTACAAAATGTGCTGCAATTCTAATGCATTGGTCCGAGGTGATGATCATCAAACATTCGACTTAATGCGAATACATTTTTTTTACTTCTCTTAATGATTATACCCTACACCACTTGTGGTACAGTGTATATTAAATATTAAATTGGTGCAGTCGTATGTAACACGCAGAGCGGCTTGAATTAGACCCAGCGATTATTATACCGATCGATTCGGAATCATAATCTGAATTAATCTAGGCCTGTATGTCCGTCTGATGACTATTTATGCATTTTTTCGTTCAAGCTGCAGGCCGGAATATTTAAAATGTTTTAATAAAATTTAATGCACAGACGCACTTTGGCCCAAGGACGAACGCGTTTCGGATCGGTTCACTTTCTCGACCCCATCTCATATAAAGCTCTATTCTGAAAAGTCGTTATGTGGAAAAAGCGGTTAAACAATAATGATTTTTGAACCCTCTTTCATAAAACCATGCCTACGGAAGCTAGAGCTTTATATGGTAGAAAGGTTAAATTTTCAATATTTCATGACAAATATTAACCGGCAAAAAATGCGCCTTGCCGAATTTGCACGACATAAGGCTGTTTATTTGTTGGATAACACAGAAGGATTCTTGGCCCCACTCCATATAAGATATCTCATGAGCAGTAAGCTCTTCGGAAAAAGGCTTAATTAAAGATAGGGAATTTGGATCATATAGGTCTATATTTTTTGAACCTAACATATATGAGCGCTATCAATGTAACGTTCCAATATGCGGGCTTTCATGAAAATTATAGCGTTCTATGAAAATAATGTGTGCTTTTTCGAAGTATTGTAGGGGATACAATGGTCGGCGCTACCCTACTATAATGTTCTTATTGGTTTGAAAATAACTAAGCTAGGGGCACTAACACTGTTATGGGAACGTTACGAGATTTTGCCAAGAGCCATTTAAGGATTGACACTTTCGAAATTCAATATGGATTTTTAACTAAAGACATCTGTATTTTGGGTCCCTGCAATTATTGATCACTTTGTTAAATTCTTCTAAAAACCAATAGCATTCGTTAATTACATTGCGAGAACTATCGTTTAATTACAAACGAATATTGGTGAATTAAATACGTAGAAAAGACTTTAGGTCCAATATGAAGCATCAAGCATCATATTTCATAAATTTTGTAAACCAAACTTCCTCCGATCCGGTTTCTGCGAAGCTACACTAAAACTGTTCGATATTCGCAATACTGGTAACTTCACAATATTTAAAAATACAAACGTTTAGATTTTTATTATGCACTGCCTTAATAAGAAAATTTTGTTCAGATCTTAACTACGATTTTAACACTATTGCATTATGGAAAATAGTACGTCACGCCTTAAGCGGTGAGTAGAAGCATGTTAGCGAATAGCGAGATTAAAATTGGACTTTTTATTAAGTATTTTTCTCAACAAATTAAATTTTGCAAACTAAGCTCTTTCGCAGGCCCTACGGTATACTAAGCCACGTTGTTAGAGGCCTGTAGATAAGAAATTTAATTGTTTTAGTTTAATTCAAAACTACATTCACAAACGAATAATAAAATCCTTGAGAACGCGTGATCATGTCAAACATACGACGACCTATCTTTACAAAGGTAATCTAGAAAGAAGTCTTGAATTTTTTTAAGCAAGAAAGCGCGGATACTTACTAGCTTCCTAAAGGCCAATCTGTTGCATCGTTACTTTTCGCTTTCCACAGAACACTTATGCTCTCATTCTCTTCACTGGAAGAGTATGATTGCATTACAACTCTAATTGATATACAGAAACTTTCACTCAAATACTTAGTATTTTTTTATTTATTTATTTTTTTTTTTTGACAGAATCCTTAAAATATTGCATTTTAAATCCTTGACTATGCGGTAGATTTCTAATCCCACGCACATATTTTCTAATCTCCGCAATTTTACTTGACCTTGGCAACCCTTAAAACATTTGGTGGGAGAGAAAAATTTTGTGTTAAGAGCTAATTTTAAATTTAAAGAGATATCAAAGAGAAATGCAGCCACCGTTCCAATAAGGAATCACTAAAATTCATCAAATGAGATGAATATTGAAATTCCTTTTGATACCTTGCGATACTGTTGCCGTTAAATCCTTTTAGTTCTAATGTTTGGTTTTATTTATATACATATATATACATATATATATATGTATATATTTTTTTTTTTTGTCGCCGTCTCTGCTTCTTCTTATTTTTTTTTTTTTTTTTGCACATCACTAATACACAAACATGGGCGGATGCCTTAATTAATACACAAGATAGCGTAACTAAAATTACAACAACACAATGAAATTCATTTGGAAACCATTAGTTAAGGATTGCTTATAGCTCTACACCGCACGGCAAATGTAATAAACATACAGAAGAACACATACCATCGCATAGTACAACATCGAACTGCCTATCCCAATATCCCCATCTAATCAGATGTTATAGTGATTGTTTTTAAAACTTAGGCTATGTAGTAAACTTTTCCGTACGCTAAGGGCGGTGACGTTGGATCCTTGATGATGCTTTACAATACACATATATATATATATATATATATATATATATGCACGTAGAGTACTTTATAATCCATTGCACATTACTATAGTTGATGGTGTTGAGATGCTGCTATAGTATATGTTGTCTACCTAACTGTCTGTCTGCCCGTTTACCTTGCAACTTATACACGTTTCCTATATAAGTAATAACAGTCAATGGGTAACGGTTTCTATCCCTGCCTCTCTTTAGACAACTTGTTCAGTAATCCTTAAGAAATTACCTTTCGCGAGAGCATTTCTATTTCTCTTCTCTTCACATCCCAATGTAACTCACCCCGCATTAAAAATTGATTAATTCTTTCCTTTTTTCTCACATTTTTCACAAATATTTTAAAAATCTATTAATGAAATTTTTCGCGTTTACTTTTTCCTTTTGCACTCATTTAACTTTCATTTAATTGCACTGTGTATCTTGTGGTTAAATTGTGAATAAACAAAAAAAAAGTGTTTTTTTTTTTGCTTTCTCAATAGTTTTGTTTACACATAAAAAAAAAAAAAAACAAAACTCTCGACCGTGAACAACAAATTTGTATAAAGTATTTACGAGCCACTGTCTGTGTGAAAACTATTTTCGTGTAATATGAACTTTACAATAGTAAAGCCAGTATCACACATCTACGGACGTCATATGGTCGAGAGTGGTGTAAACTTCTTTTGATAAAGCACATCAACCCGACAAAAACGCAAGCGATGTGCTTGATATTATTTTCATATAATAATTTCTATATTTCATCTCATAAATCAATCTCTCAAACGATTTCATTTATCTCTTATTTATAGAATATTTAATCCAACACAAATAATTGACATTTCTAGCTTTAGCTAGTGCTATAGATCTTATAAAAGCATTGTTTGCAATAAGTTAGTTAGTGACGTGTTATTGTATGTGACAATACCTAACATTATGAAAGTGTAAATACATCTTTGAAATTTTTGATCTGGGATATTTTTCATGGTCGGGGAAATTTAATACGGTATAGCCAAAGTGAAATTTTATTGAGTTAAAAGTGCTGAGATGCCAAGTACCTGAATGCATTCTCTGGGAATTTTTTTATCAGTTTACTGTTTCGGTTAAAACAGTAGAAAAATTAATATTTCATGGCTAGATACGCTAACCGCCACGAGATGGCATCAAATACTAAATATCTTATCATTATTACTTATTACGGGCAGTAGGAAAAAAAACTGAAGAATTTATAACAACAAGAAAATTCGAAGCAATACAAAATGTAATTATCGCCCTATAGCAAGCATAAGGTACTAACCTATTAATTGCCCTATAGCTACAATAAGCAGCTAAGCTATTAATTACTCTACTTATATGGTAACGACTTTCTTCGTTGTCTGTTTCTAGGCGTCAATGAAATTCTTACATTTTTTTTTAATCTTTCGTAAAAAGTATGGATTTTTTTTTAGAAAAATCTTAAAGGCGAAGACTCTTGACATTTTATTAAAATTAACAAAACTTTTAGATCTTTTATTATAATATTATAATATATATGAATAAACGTGTAGACAAGTCATCTAAGCAAACACTTATCTACCTATATAAATTAAATAAATTCTATATATAGTTCGGCTGTAGTTACAAAAAGCAAAAAAAATAAAAAAAAATTATCTGTGATACCAAGTTCAATAGCATTATCATCGCTTTCGAATATTTAATATAAGAACAGAGACATAAAGAAATATATTTATATATATACATATATATATATATATATGTTCCATGTAATTTCTCATCTTGATTTTTGAAATAATTACAATACTTAATTTTATAAATTTTTTTAAATAAATTAACAAAAGTCTTGGGAAAATTGGAATATGTTTTAAGTGAAGTTGCTTGTCCTCCATTTTAGAACACTTTATGCTCATATATATATTAAGAAATCGAAATAATATTTGGTTTAGAAATCGAGATAGCACTAGTTTTAAGTGTGAACGCATATGCACTGAAGGATTGAGATGGATGCGTAAAATCACATCCGCCTCGGAACAAAAAATTTGTTAGACTTCTTAAGTAAACTCTTATTTTAAGGCTTCGAGCGGGACTTTGGAGAGAACCATTAAGCAATCGAATCTATCAAAATTTTTCCTTTTTTGACATCTTAAAATTGCATTCGCTAGGTTTTTAAAAAAAAAAAAACAAATTTTCTACTTAAAGGAAAAACCCCAAAAAGCTGAAGGCTATAGGTATAGTATTGTATATAGCTTGGGATTTCTTCCCCTTCCAAATAAATACTTCTTTTGAAAGCGAAATAAAAGGGACGAAAAATTTTCAAAATATTATTTGTAATTGTTGTCACATTGTCTTACCCGAACAACATGTTTCGAACAATGTTGATCCATCATTTCCATCATTTTCTACAACTATGTCCCACCTTTTTGTTAACATGGCGATCCAGTGCTGAAAGAACGATATTGCTTTGGCAGCGATAATTACATCGACTCCTTTTCGAACTTCTTCAGCATTTCGGATCTGAAAATGTAGTAATGACAAGGCGCTACGCCTGGTGAATACGCTGTGTGGAACAAAACTTCCCATTTGACCTGCAAGAGTGCATCTGTCACAACTGTAGCCACGTGTAACATTGTCATGCAAAACGATGGCTCTGGTAGCCACACTTGCTGGTCTTTTTTGCAACGATACATAATTAAATTTGTTCAACTGACCTCGGTAGACATCTGTAGTAAAAGTTTCTTTCGATTTTCGCAGCTGATAAAGCACTAGACCTTGCTGATCCCACCATATGCACGACAAAAATTTTATGGCCATGAATATTCCGTTTCGGTATCGATGCCGATATCTCTCCTGTACTTTCCCATGCTGTTAGGATTGTCATAGTAGATGCACTTTTCATAGCTAGTGACAATACGCCACACAGGCAAAACACTTCTTTTTTTGCCTGACAAGCAATGAAATCGCGATTCGGTTCGAAGTGACATCTTCAGTCAATCGATATGGTAGCCATTTTCTCCCTCTTTTGGGATCGTCCCCATCGCATGTAAACGTATAGAAAGAATTTATACATAAACTGCTAAGTTGTTCGAAAGCTGTCTGAGTTGAATTCTCGTCCAATTGTAAGTCATTGTCTTCGAAGTTTTTTGCTCATCCTGGCCGTTCTTTGTTATTAACTTTAAAATACGTGATAGCTGTCTGTATACAATGTATAACTTAATAATACTAAATGGAAAACTGTTATTTTATATATATATATATATGTGTGTGTACATGTGTACATTGGCACTTCTTATTACTTTATAATTTTTGCCAATAGATGTAGTTGATCAAAATACATTCAAAATCACCTGTAAGATGAATTTTGAAAGACTTTCAAAATGCTATTTCTAATCTTTTTGACCTTCAGAGAATTCCTTCCACCCTAATGCAAAACGAAAGCACTTGAAAAGGTATTTCAGTTTCAGCATATGTGATCTCCTTCTAAAAACTATTTTCAATACTAATCAACCCGACATATTGTATTACTCAGTATATAATATGTGCTCCAAAAAGTGAAGAATGGGTTCTTAAAACCTTTCCCAAAGCTAGACGGAATCATAAATAATTTCCGATAGAAGTAGGTTGCCTGAATATATGTTCGTGTTTACCGACTATAAGTCGCCAGAGCGAAAGAATTTTTGTTTTCAATTAAGAAAAAAAAAAAGAAATCCAATTATTCTTCTGTTCTATGTGGTGAACAATTTGTTAAACTGCTGTTCGTGAGAGGGAGAGAGAGAAAGAGAGAGAGAGAGAAAGAGAAAGGGAGAGAGAGAGATTTGTTATGTGACGCTTTGGCAATTTAAAAAACTTAATAGTGCTAATAAGAGCCTTAGGATATTCTTAGTCTATCATTTCGCTGACTCCTTTAAAAAATCGTCGAAATATTGCCAAGAATTGGTTCCATTTCCAAAAAATTATTCCCACATGATAAATCAATCAGGAATTGTGCTGGGAAATGTATTGTACTTAGACTTTTACTTAACATTTTCAGATCGCCGCGACAGGTTATTAAGATTTTCTCGCCCCGAAAATTTTTCCTAATCTTGCTTGAACCCTACTAGGCTACTAATCTTAAACTTAACGTTTTACCAATGCTCATATTTTAGAGCAGATAGATAAGTCAATGTACAGTGTAATGGCATATGGAAAATTTTCGCAATACTCTTTTTAAAAAACGCCTCTGAGCGTAAATGAATCAGAAAGAGATACCTTGAACTGAGTTCAACGTAATATAATGTATAAAGCGATCTTTTGAAAGAGTGATCATAACCTTTCCTATATTATATGTGAAATTCTTTTCATTCTTTTATTGCTTTGTTTGGGTGTATTATTAAAATACCGTTATATGCTGAAAATGATATAAAATCTTTAGGATTTCATAGCTATCGCCGCAATGACCATTCCGTAATACATTCACGGTCATCCATATGCCAGCGTATGCATATATGAACGCTTGTTTTGATTAAACATACGTAAATCTTCATTAATTGTAAAGAAATCTTAGAAGCACGACTTTTGTAAGTAACTTTAACATGTGTGTAGACATCCAGAGCCAAGGCATAAGCTATTGCTTCATAATAAAAAAAATTATTTCTTTCTGTTCGTCTCTGATTTCATTTTTATATTTTTTACGGCAGTGACTTCGAATATGCACAAGTGGGGTGAGTGTGTATGTTTTTATGCTTTCCAAGTTACGAAGGTTTAATGATTACCGTTTTTCTAGGTTATTACTAATGATGTGTTTTTATGAGAATATTTTCAACATCTCCTCCATATTTTACATAAATGTAATAGTAGTGTCATATACATATGGATAACACATATGTACATATATATTCCTAGCATATATTATAAGCAATTAATTCTAGGAAATTATGTTATAAGCTAATTAGTAATGAAATTTTGTTAAATCATGATTCGCTATAAAACATGTTGCTTCTTCTTCTCTTTTCGTATTTTTTTTTTTTTTGCATCCATCAGTCATCATAAAATTCCTCTGTAACATATGCTTACAAAGGAGTATATAATTATATTTTACTTTTTGCTTATTGTGTTGCTTTTTGTTTTATTTGTTTTTGTTTTTTGTTGTTGTTGTTGTTGTTGTGGACCATTGTTTTGGAAAATAAAACAGATAAAAGAGCAATGACCAATTGCTCGTCACATCAACAAGAAAAACAACATCATCATCAACAACAACAGCAATATTATCGTCAGCAGCAATTACAACAATAATACGACAGCATCTATATAATGCAGCAACAGGAGCCAAAAGCAGAGGAACGTAATCAAATTACCCAACCGGGGTAGAATATCT